CGAATGGCTAGAGAAGCTGTGGTATATTCGCACAATGGAATACTATGCTGCATTGAAAAACAAGGAACTCATGCAATATTATTCAAAATGGTTGTTTACATACCTTTTCAATCTGTATGCAGAATAGATTATCTGAGACACTGGGCTATACAAAGAGGAATGTGGCATCAGGATTGGTGGAAGAATCATCAACAACCTACTTTATGCAGATGACACAACCCTGCTTGCTGAAACTGAGGAGGACCTGAAGCACGTGCTGCAGAAGATCAAGGACTACAGCCTCCTCCTATATGGACTGAAGCTAAATGTCAAGAAAACAAAGATTCTAACCACTGAGCCAACTGGCAGCATCAGTATGGATGGTGAAGAGATTGAGATAGTTTTCTTGGCTCCATAGTCAACAGTCTTGGTAACAGCAGCCAGGAAATCAGGAGATGAATTGCATTGGGAAATTCAGCTGTGAGGGATCTCTCAAGAGTACTGAAGAATAATGAAGTCAGGCTGGAGACTAAGGTGCGCCTGATCCGGACTATAGTCTTTGTAATTGCGTGCTATGCATCAGAGAGTTGGACAGTGAATAGGGTTGATAGAAAGAGAATTGATGCCTTTGAGCTGTGGTGCTGGAGAAGTGTGTTGAATATAACATGGACTGCAAGAAGAACAAACAGGTTTGTCCTGGAGAGGGTGAAGCCGGAAGGCTCTTTGGAGTCAAAGATTCTGAAGCTTCGTCTGACATATTTTGGGCATGTTGCAAGGAGGAACTGGTCCTTGGAGAGGGATGTCACGTTTGGCATAGTGGAGGGGCAGCGAAGGAGAGGAAAACCTTCGATGAGATGGATCGATTCTGTGACTGGAGCGGTGGGAGTAAGTGCATTTGAGATGGCTACCGTGGTACATCTGTTCTGCATATAGGTTGAAAAGGTATGGAGATAGGATGCATCCCTGGTGTATGCCCTTTCCAATTTTGAACCATGCAGTGTTCCCTTGCTCTGTTCTGACGACTGCCTCCTGGTCCAAGTATAAGTTTCGCATTATCACAATCAAATATTCTGGGATTCCCATTCTTCTCAGAGTCAGCCATAGTTTGTTATGATCTACACAGTCAAATGCTTTTGCATAGTCAATGAAACACAGAGACATTCCTCTGGTATTCCCTGCATTCAGCCAGGATCCATCAGCTACAATATCTGTAGTACCACAACCTATATGCAGAACAGATTATCCGGGAGGCTGGGCTCTATGAGGAGAAATGTGGGGTCAAGATTGGTGGACGATTTATCAACAATCTGCATTATGCG